TTCACCATGTTGGCCAGGTTGGTCTCGAACTCTCGACCTCCGGTGATCCACCCACTTTTGCCTCCCAAAGCGCTGGGATTACAGGCGTGAGCCGCCGTGCTTGGCCCGTCCTGGCGATTCCTATGCAAACGTTTGACAAGTTTGATAGCTGTACTGTTTCCCACTGTGCTGGAGGGTCTCTCTCTGGGAAACGGAAGCCCAGAGAGGGAAGGCAACTTGCGTGAGGTGAGGTCACCCAACCTGTCAGCCACAGAGGGGAGAATCACGCAGAGCAGATCCGTGGCTGTGGAAGGACGGCGTGTGGTCCCGTGGATGTGCTCGTCACGGGCATCCAGGAGGGACTGGAATGGGCAGTTGGGGTGAGTAAGGACCCGGCGGCTGGGCCTTAGCCTGTGCGGTGCCCTCCAGGTGCGCAGAACCACACGCTGCAGAGGCTGCAACAGGTGCTGCACGCAGGCTCAGGGCCCTGCCTACCCCATCTGCTGAGCCGCCTCTGCCAGAACCTGGGCCCCGGTGCCTTCCGACTGGCTGCCAGGATGTACCTGCAGAAAGGTAGGCACTGACGGCAGGGAGCTCCCTCAGTCCCGCCCGGGGTGGAGGAGGGTGAGAGAGAGGGGCTGGGCCTCTGGTAGCCAGTGGGAGCGTGGCTGGCTGTGGAGCCTTGAGCCCTGGGAACAGCTTGTACTCCCTCCATGCAGGATTTCCCATCAAAGAAGATTTCCTGGAACAGTCCGAACGGCTATTTGGGGCAAAGCCTGTGAGCCTAACGGGAAAGCAGGAAGATGACCTGGCAAACATCAACCAATGGGTGAAGGAGGCCACGGAGGGGAAGATTCCGGAGTTCCTCTCTGAGCTACCGGAAGACACCGTGTTGCTTCTCCTCAACGCCATCCACTTCCAGGGTGCGCTCCTCCTCCTCTCAGATCCCCCGCCCTGTAGGCTGAGCTGGGACCTGCAGGCCTTTTTGTTTTTTTGAGACAAGTCTCGCTCCGTTGCCCAGGCTGGAGCACAGTGGCGTGATCTCGGCTCCCTGCAACCTCCGCCTCCCGGGTTCAAGCGATTCTCCTGGCTCAGCCTCCTGAGTAACTGGGATGACAGGTGCCCGTCACCACTCCCAGCTAATTTTTGGATTTTAGTAGAGACAGGGTTTCACTGTGTTGGCCAGGCTGGCCTTGAACTCCTGACTTCAGGTGATCCGCCCACCTCGGTTTCCCAAAGTGCTGGGATTACAGGTGTGAGCCACCGCGCCCGGCCATGCAGGCTTTGTTCTGAGGGTCTCCTTTCTTCCTCAGTCTGGGCCATGAGGCAGGGGGCTGTCTGGGTCTGGTGGGGACGGGTGCCCAGGAGCCAGATGAGTTGTTCTAGAGAGAATACCCTGGGAACCAATGGTCTGAAAAGATCCAGGAGGAGGTTCCTAGGAGAATTGCAGGGATTGGGGAAAACACAAGCCCAGATTTCAAAAATGCTACGGGAAAGAGACATTATATCAATTGGATGCCAACGGGCATTCCCTGGGGTCTTGGCCTCCTCCGCTCTCTCATCCTTGAATGGATTCTGGGTGGGATGGGCAACGGGCTGGGGGTGCAGAGACCAAGCTTGTCCCCATCGACGTGACCCCTGCCCTCTGCCCCAAGCCAGTCTCCGTCGACGTGACCCCTGCCCTCTGCCCCAAGCCGGTCCCCGTCGATGTGACCCCTGCCCTCTGCCCCAAGCTGGTCCCCAACGACGTGACCCCGCCCTCTGCCCCAAGCCGGTCCCCGTCGACGTGACCCCTGCCCTCTGCCCCAAGCCGGTCCCCGTCGACATGACCCCTGCCCTCTGCCCCAAGCCGGTCCCC